AAAAGAAAACGATTAATCGATTATTAAATTAGTCATCGATTATTTTAATAATCGATTAGTCGTCGATTAAACGATTAATCGTGGCAGCCCTAGTAATACTGCTCAACAAGTATTAGCGAGTTAGTGGGTCCGTGCCCAACCTTGCTACTCACGGTTCATGAGAGTGACGATGAAAACATCCAAACCAAGACGTCTTAATTCACTGTGATCCATCTTACAGACATTCTAACAGAAATGTTCCTCAGTGAACCAACACAGTTAAAACATGAAGGTAACATTTCTGCAGTAATGCCTCTGCTGCCTCACATGCCAGATTTAAACTAAGATGTTTTACTGAGAGCAGAGAGTTGAAGTCATTTGGATCAAACCTTAAACCTTGAGCATAACTTGATACAGTTTTAAATTATATTACAAGATATGTCACTCAGAAAACATGTTGTTATAAAGACTCTCAACACAACTTCAAACATTTATGACAAAGTTTTGTAAACACCTCTGTTAGCTCTCAGATTGTGATGAGAATGAGTCTCTGCTACTACCACCTGATTATAAACTTTGTTGGCTAATTGCTTACTGGCTGTGGCCATCTTGAACAGGGCTGACTCCAAAAGTGGATCAGTTGTAGACGCCCATCCAGTCGTTATTTTCTGTGAGTTTCAATACAGTCTGTACACTGGTTCATGAGATATTTTGCTAACAGACAGACAAACACACTGTAAACTGTAAAAACACAGTTCACAGTGTGTGCAGATGATGAATAAGCAGGAAAACCTACCATCCTTCACAATATTCAGCCCATTCTCGTCCACATTTTGCTTTATTTAAAACAAGTTTAAATGTCTGGAAAGCACAACACATGCTTTTATAGGCAACAATGAATGGATTTTGACAGTTTTAGCTGAAGTTACTCCAAATATATATATAAAAAATAACATTAAAACTGATCATTGTTTGGTGTTTAAAGGAAGATTTGACATCTGAAGCCAAACAAACATCAGTCTGAAACAGTTGGTTATAAGATGACTTCTTTTTCCACAGAGGACTTCAACAAACTTCTCCAGAAAAGATCAGTGATGAAAATAAAAATTCATGTCTTGTAGTGAATGTGGAGCTAAATGCTGTAGAAATACAGCGGGTAAAATAAGTATTGAACACGTCACCATTTTTCTCAGTAAATATATTACTAGAGGTGCTAATGACATGAAATTTTCACCAGATGTCGGTAACAACCCAAGTGATCCATACATACAAAGAAATGGATCACTTGGGTTGTTAC